AAGTCTTGCATCTGAAGAAGTGAGGTTCTTACCCACGAAAGCTTATGCTCCCTATACTTCTGTTAGTCTCAAAGGTGCCACAGGACCTTCTGTTGCTTTTCACAGATTCAGACTAACACGGCTACCCCTCTGATACTTCCCAGAATAAACTGTTTCTTGAAGCAGAGCTGGATAGTGAGAGATACTTACCTAGAGCACTGCAGCTGAAACCATTTAGGACAGTATTAGATGAACAGAGCAAACCTAAAGTGTTTCACTATGGCCACTGTGTGCACTGAAACCTTTGTTCAATGCCCTAGCATGCACACAAGCCCTGTCCAATTAAACATACTAAACGGGTGGGGGAAGGGGCAGGAAGAGGTTTCATTTTTAAAATATGTACTTTGTCTCTGCATCATAACTGTAACACAGATCAGTGACCTACAGAATTTTTAAAGTAATCAGAGTGAGGTGCGTCAGCAATGTTAGTTAACATTTGAAAAATCAGTCATCTGAACTGCCCGTCACCTTACATGCAAGAGAAAATAAGCTGTTTTCATTACAGTAATGGGTAGGGATTATATATTAAATATGCAGGTGTTCAGTGGGTTTTTTTAAATGCACAAGTTGTCACTCTTAAAAATGGTTCTACACCAGGCTTTAAATGAGAAGTAATAAATCACTCAAATTTTTAAGCTAATGGGTCAAGTGCTGTTCGAGAATAAGTGTGTTGAATACTCCTTCACCAACGTATCTAAAATCCCTTTGAGGTACAAGTTAAAGCAACCCATTTTACAAAAAAATCCCTCACCAATTCCTTAGATTATAAAGATGAAAACAGTTAACTAAATTATGCCTTTTACTTTTTGTATTTTAATCTGTTTGGAAAGCAGACTAGCTGGTTTCATATTCTCATGTGCAAACCTAACAATGTTGTCTCTATTTGTATCCAACAAAAATGCTTAAACCACAGAATTTTAAAAGATTTTAATGTCATTTAACACTTAATCTAACATTAAACTATATTAAACTACAGTAAACTAAGGCCATTTTACTTCTGATTGAGGGTATTGTTTAATACACTTTAACATCACACCTTTTGTTAATTCATCTTACCTTTCCTTTAACTTCCATGGACAGACATGCCCACATAAGAGAAACAAAGACTAACTAGAGAGAAAGTGCCATAAAATGCACCAAATAAACAAAGTAAAAATATTTCTCTCCCAATTAATCCTTAGGAGTTACTTGTATCAATAGTAGGCGAAATATTTTCTCACAGATGTGAGAGATTTAAGCTGGGGTCCTTTTAATACACCACGTTTTTATATCAATAGGATACACTCTTGGAAAAAATCCTGTTCACCTGAGTCTCCAAGACAGGTTCCTTCACAACGGAGTGTTCCTGTTCTTTAGAGAAGCAGTCACAATAGAGCAACTATTTGAGACATTCTCCACAGAACAATTCTTACTGGAAATTGTGAAACACTACTATGAAGTTGTAAGTATTGATAATCCTTCAGGACATAGCAGTAAACAACAAGTCAAGCATCTCCCTCATAATATAGGTGCTATTTCTGGGGTTCATCTTTCCTAAAATGATGTAGTGGTAAATGCCAGAGGAAGGATATTATTGCATAACCAAATAGTAATTTCCAATATAGCATTTGGTTTTGGCATGAACAAGTTGCCACACAAGATATGTAGGCATATTGTAAAGTTACAGAACTGTATGTGGCACTTGCCCAGCTGAATCAAAGGACCAGTCTAGACTACAAAAAGTTTTAATTGTGTCTTCCAAAACAACGTTCTGCCTTGCTATTGTTAAAACAAAGCGACTTGGCAAGGGGCAGGATTGAACCTGATTTAACTGTCTCCCCAAACCGAACTGGAATTCAACGCTTAGTTGTTTGAAGTGCACTGGGGACAACTATGCTTTTATGTGGGTGGCCCACCCCCCAACCTCAGCATGTTTCCAGAGTGTAGAGGAGGTAAAAAGCCTTCAAGTTTAAAGATCTCAGATAAAACCAAACAACCAAAGGTCTTTGTTGACAAGGACAGTTGGTAAAGCTAATTAAAGGCAATATGGTATTTTGCATAAGCTTGTTAAACATAACTTACATTTGACTTCTGCACTTTGCCTAACTACTTAGCTGGTTCAGGACAGATATGAATTTTTGGACGCAAATATGCACTATACTTGCAAGCCAGATTACTTAACACCCACTAACAAAGCAAAAGGGCCTAAAAGTTTCACAGTTTAAGAACTCTAAATTATAGTTACTGAGCACAAGGCCTAGAAAGGCCTCCATTTTGAGAGGTCAATTCCACTCCAGACCTTTAGGGCTTTGTCTACAAGAGAAAGTTGTACCAGTTTGGTTTAAAAAAATAAAAATAATCACAACTAGATTAGTTAACTGAAGACTGAAGGACACTCATTTCATTAGAAATCAGGATTATAATTCAACTATGCTAAATCAAAACAAGCCCAATTCCAACTGAAATCAGTGCCCACTAAGTCTTTTAAACAGATTTGAAAATTACCCTTTATACTGGTGCAGCTCTCATGGGTTTTTAGAGCAGGATACCACTTCCACTTAAGACAATGGTAGTTTTGCCACCGACTTCAATGGAAGCAGGATCAAACCAATAGAATGCAGTGATAGAAAGCAATATGGTTAAATGTTAAACATTAAGTTCTTAGAAACCTGGAATCAAAGTGATTTTACTTTTTTTTTTATAAAATCCATGCCCCATGTCATACATACTCTCACTCAAGCATGTAAGGAATTCAATTCTTTATTTGTGATATCCATAAACCCATAAACGATGCTATTCTATATTTCTATCCAGGAAGGCAGTTTTCCCCTATAACATTATGCCTTTTTTTTCTCAAATAAACAACAAACTTTAATTCTATTGCGTGAAAGGGCTACAAATATACATTTGTTAATCAAGCAGACTACACAGATATTTTGCTTTACAACTGGCACCTATGTTACTGGTACACTTAGCTGGCTCATTTATCATAGCACTTTGCCCAAACAATTTAGATTATCACTTCTTTTGAAGGATGGGCAGTTATAAGAGTTTTAGAAATGTACTGAAGCAGATACTTCAAATCCATTTTGTTTCAGTCAATATGCAGGGAGCCCATCTTTAGTCACATGCAGATTTGATTTTTATTTCAGTTTACACCGAACGTTTAATGGCATAAGACAGCTTTCAAAAATCTAGTAGAGTTAGCAAACAATTTGCCTCTGTTTGTAATGAAGCCTAGAGCAGTGGTTCTGCCATTCTGCCAGTAGATGGTGCTGCAAAGGATTCTCTGGGAACTTTAAGGAAGGACAATAGTTCAGACCAAGTGAAAAGTCTGTTTTACCCTGGTACTATGAAAACAAGTAGGCATTTAATTGAAGAGATAATGTTGACCCTTTCCTGTAACGAATCATTTACAGACAAGCCAATAAGAGGATCTGAAACTAAGCAATTGGAAATTTTGAACATTTTATATGAATGAAGCACATGCTTAACACAAACTATTTTAGAACTACACAGTACATACTTGATGGAAAAGTCCTATAGAAAAAATTGACCAACCATGTCAGCACGTCAATCAAACTGCCTAGTACAAGATGGTGGATGCACACAAACTGCAAAAGTGAGAATGAATATTTAAAAAACAGACCACATCCACCAATTAGTACTTCAAAAAGTTTCCATAAAGAGTTTGAAAACCAATAAATCCACTAATGGGACATCAAAAAGTAAATTAGGACCTTTACTGGCAATAAAGTCTCTAAATACATAGAGAAATAAAAGCAGAGGAACAATACTTGTTTCAAACCCAGAAAAGCCTTAAACCGTACGGAATGGATCCTAGGAAAAAAGTTAGACATGTAAAGGTCAATGAACACAATGATTTATTTAAAAAATAAAAACGTAAAAACGATTTTTTCCTCCTTTACAGAAATGTTAATTTCAGTCATGGATCCGAGCAGATTTTGTAGGGAAAAAATGTAGTAGCCAGGTATCGAGTCCTTACAACAAAGTAAATTCCCCCCCCCCCATCTCCCTCCCCAGTTTTTACTTCAGAATCAGCAAGACATTGCCCACCCCACACCCCAAAAAACAAATTAAAACAAGACATTTTCATTGCTAGTATAAAAACGACCAAGGTCCAAGTAATAATAAAAAAATAGAGTCCATCAATGACTGTAACACAAAGTATGTGTGTGTGGGGCCCAGTCCATCTTCAGAGAGAAAGAAGTGGCACAGGCAGAGGCGACCCCCAGAGGGCATTTAGGAGCTGCTCCCACAGCAGGGGAGGCATTTACTAGGAACTGCCCTTAGGCGAGTGAGGGGAGAAACCATTAGAAGCTGCCCCGTAACAAAGGGAGGGCTCTCCATGCCACCCCCAATGGGTATGGGCGCCGCCGGTTAGAAGGAGCTGCCGCCATACCCTCCCCCACCATAGCCTCCTCTGTACGGTCCACTGTTACTGCGCCCTCCCCAGCTGCCGCCCCCTCCTCCGCCTCCTCCGCCGCTCTTCATGGGGCCGTAGGAGGACTGATGTTGGCTGTAGCTGCCGAACCCGCCGTACCCGTTGCCGTAATCTCCGCCTCCACCACCTCCTCCGTAGGAGCCGCTGCTGTAAGATCCGTAGCCGCCGCCTCCGCCGTAGCCTCCGTAGCTATTATAGCCGCCGCCTCCTTTGGAGAGACCGTTGTGGTCCCGGTTGCCGGATCCGCCGCCGCCCCGTCCTCGTCCTCCTCCCCTGCCGCCCCGGGAAGGCCTAGAGGAGCCACCGCCGCCCCCGCCCGACTGGATGTCCTCCTTGGGCACGGCCTTCTTGACCTCCACGCGGTGGCCCTGGATCGGATGGAACTTGACTACAGCGGCCTTGTCGGCGGCGTCGTGGTTCTGGAAATAGACGAAGCCGAAGCCGCGCTTCTTGCCGCTCTGTTTGTCGGCGATGATCTCGGCCTTCTCCACCGGGCCGAACTGGCTAAAGTGCTGGACCAGGTCCCCCTCGCCCACGTCCCCCTTTAGACCGCCCACGAAGAGCTTCTTCACCTTCGCGTGGGCCCCCGGCCGGGCCGAGTCCTCCCGGGACACGGCCCGCTTCAGCTCGACCGCGTTGCCGTCCACGGCGTGGGGGGAGGCGGCCATGGCGGCGTCGGCCTCCTCCACAGCCGAGTAGGTGACGAATCCGAAGCATCGGGAGCGCTTGGTCTGCGGGTTGAGCACGACCACGCAGTCGGTGAGGGTGCCGTAGGCCTCGAAGTGCTCCCGGAGCCCGGCCTCGGTGGTCTGCACGTTCAGGCCGCCGATGAACAGCTTGCACAGCTGCGAATTCTCCATGCTGCCGCCTCCGCCGGGGCTGCGCCTAGGCCTGGCGCCGAGACTCCGCCTCCTGCTGGGGGGGAAGCTCAGGCCTCTCCACGTTCAACGAGCACCGCAACTTCAAGACAGCAGCAGCAGCTGCCGCGGCTCCTCCTTGGCGTGGCCTAGCCTCGCCAGCGACCTGGCCGCCGCCGGTACCACAGAAAAGGGGCCTGGGGGTGGGGGAGCACACCGACACGCACAAAATGGCGGCTGCTACTCCTCAGGCGTTCGGCCGGCAACTGGTGCTGCTCACACAAAGGGGACGCTGGGAGCCCCGCCCGCCGTGCCGCCGCAGCACACGCCCTCGGCGCCGACTGGGCCAATAGAAAGGCGCAACCGCCTACGTGAACGAGTCATTCTTTAGGGGGCGGGGCTTCGTTAGTGATTGACGACAGCTAGGACTAATCGGATTATGCGACCTCCACCGCGCGTACGCAAGAGGCAAAGAGAGGGCGGGAGCGTGTTAGTAACTGACGTCCTGGGGAACCAATAGAGTTCCTCTAAAGCCGCGGGCGGAGAGGCGGGCCTAATCAAGAGTCGACTAATAAGATTCTGCAGCCTCAACTCGCGCCGAGCGAAGAGTAGAAGGGGGAGGGAGGGACGGGGTTGAGGCTGCGCCAATGCGTCAACCCAGCGGATATGAGCCAATAGGTCTCCTCCTTCCCAGCCGCGCGCTTTCCCCCCAGGAGCCCTAGTCCCGCCCCCGCGGGTGGGGGAAGGGGATAGCGTAGCTTTCATGGCAGGCCGCGCGGGAGCATTTGAAAAGCTGACCGTTAGGAAGCGGTTTCAGTCATCATAGCCCCCCTTCCCCTCCCTTAATGAAGTGAGAGAGAGGCCGCACCAACCAACTCTCCCCTCGAGGGGGTGGGGGAGCCACCCGCCCCCAGCACGTGACTCTTTCCAAGCACCTCACACAGCCCCCCCCCCCCACCTCGCAGCCATGAGGGATTCGTTGATACCGGGGGTTAATTCATGGCTCCCCCATGGTGCTGCATATAAATCAACTCCCTGCTCCTCATGGTCCACCCCCACCCCCCATTGCTCTACCTCAGCCCCCTCCTCCCCACATCCAGCAGTGCCCAGCCAGGCCTCCCCAGGGGGGCTCTGGGGAGCAGATTCCAGCTCACTCGCGGGAGGGGCACAGTCCCATTTTGCAGATGCTGGTGTCTGGGTCCCTGGAGCCACCGCCCTGTGTTGGGAAAAGCAGCCCCTGAGGCAGGGGGGCTGGAACAATTTTTAAAGTGTGAACCTTGTATATCATGGAAACCACTTCAAACCGGGGGTGCGGCAGCCCCCCGCGTTCCAGCACCTGTGCACTGAGCATAGGGTGACCAGACAGCAAATGTCAAAAATCATGAGGGGGTAATAGGAGCCTATATAAGAAAAAGACCCAAAAATCAGGACTGTCCCTATAAAATCGGGACATCTGGCCACCCTCAGCAGCCGAGAGCAAGGGGGATACATGCCCTGGATGGTTCACTGTGACATTTACAAGCCCCCTTTGTTTGATAATTGGGAATCTGCGTGGGACGTTATGATCCTTTGGTGGCACACTTACACCTTGGACAGGGCCTTGCCAGGCTGTGGGGCAGCCTCCTAACCTCACATGTAATTTCCCAGCACAGCACTTTTGAGTGTATTTTAATTTGCTTCTTGCTTCCCCTCTGGGTGGAGTTATAGATTTGTACTTTCCTACTAATTATACTAAATAGCTTCACCCTGCTAGTCTTGGTGTAGGTGTAGTGGCTCCAGCCTATGAGAAATATAAGGGGGAGGTAAGGAAATGTCTTGTATTGGACCAACTTCTGGTGGTGGAAAAGACAAGCTTTCAAATGCCACAGACCTGAAGAAGAGCTCTGTGGCGCTCAAAAGCTTCTCTCTTTCACTAACAGAAGTTGGTCCAGTAAAAGATATTCCCTCACCCTCCTTGTCTTTTCCATTTTTAAACTATCATTTTTCTTTTCATGGCCCTTCTCCAGTCCCTGTTTTTTCTTTATTCTCTTACTGTTCCCTTTTTTGGCTCTCTTTACCCCTTTAGGTTCATTCTCACTTCCCTTTCACGTGTTATGTGCCATGCTGTTGTAGCCATGTAAGTCCCAGGATACTAGAGTGACAAGATGGGTAAGAACTTTTATTGGACCAACTTCTGTTGGAGAGAGAGAAGCTTTGGAGCTTATACAGAACTCTTCTTTCCCTTTCATATACATTTCTCAGTCCCCACTCTCTTTTTGCTCTTCCTCCCAGTATTTCCCTCCCCAAATTTCCAATCTATTCCATACCCTTCCTCTCCGATCACTGTTTTCCCGTAATTGATTTAGTTAGTTGTTAACTCAAACAGCAGGCACTTTCTATTTAGCTAAAGAGGAAATAGAAGAACATACAAATATAATGAACCAATTAACAATGATGTATATCAACTTCTGATTTTGACATTATATAGATTAGAGGTTGCTAGCTGGATTCCTGATGCCCTTGGTGTAATTGGGAACACAATTTTTATCCATGGGACAAGTTTTCAAATAAGCTGGGTGTTATGGAGCAGGATGGCCTAGGAGCTGCTTGTGAAGTTTAGATTGTTATGCTATTATCCTTCTTTGAAGGTGACAGAGAGAAAAATAAAATTTCACCAGAATGCTCATGTGCCTGAGACCCAAGGTTTCCAGATTCCCATCTTAATTTAAACTCTTCCTTGATTATTTTGCCTGCTTCCCACTCTCTTCAATCTCTTACCCACTAGTACTCCCTAATGCTCAATTGCATAGTTCCTATTTGTTCTCCACGCTGCACCCCCTTGTTACCTCAGACATCCCCTTGTGCTTCCACTCTCTTCCCAGCCCCCACTCTTTGTTTCCCCTCTTTTACTTCTGCCTGCATAAGATTCTCCCTCCCACTTTGTCACGAGTGTATAGTGCACAGATCCTATAGCCCAGTCCAGGCAATTGCATCATTCCTCTCAGCTTCATTAGAAACAAATGCCTGGAATGACCACTGAGAAAGGCTAAGAAGAAACTGGCTTCTTGTTGGTAAGGACTCCCAAGGCTAGCAGGAGGAGGGAGGAGCTGATCAAATGCTACAGATACATGATGTACACTACAGGCACGGCAGCAGTATAGCTATGGCTGACTACAGCGACAGAAGAGGTTTTTCCATTTGTGTAGAAACTCCACCTCCCTGAGCAATGGTAGCTGGGTGAGGGAAGCATTTTTCCATCAGCCTAGCTGTGTCTACGCCGAGGGCTTAAGCCAGCACAACTACAGCACTCTGGAATGTGGGTTTTTCACACCCTGAGTTCCATACCTAGGTCAACTCGAGTTTTAAATGTGAACCCGCCTGCGTGAGCAGAGGTGCTGCCGTTATATAGCTGAGTTACAGCCCACAGTCCTGGTACCCTGACAGCTGTGCATGATGCAATACAAGCAAAGATTAGCTGCTCCTACCTTAAAGGATCCATAATAATTAATAGAGCTAAAATAAATGGGAATAAGATTTAATGGGGCGACACCACTTTATAGAATCGCCTCCTTCCTCAGCTTCCTGACAGCATTGCTAAACTTAGGTAAACAGTTGTGTATACACAAACAATGTCAGATCTTAAATTGTCTGATTGTTAAAGTAAGATTAAAAAAAAAAGGACAACATACATCAAAAATAAGTCCATAGTTCAAGTAGTCTCTTCATCCTCCAAATTCTTATCCTGCTGCACTTTGCCCAGCAATTTCTCAGCAGCTAAACAATCCCTGAGCAAAGAACATCTCCCTTAGTAATTTATCTGTAATTTGGCATAGAAGAGAACATTTTCCCTTTAGAAGGCAATAATAATTGAAGTTTTCTTTTTGCAGATGTAGGCCTAGTCTACGCTACAATGTTTTACCAGCATAACTTGCCTTAGTTTGGCACATCCTCATGTAGCTCCACACTCAATTTTGAGTCCTGCCAACACTGACTTTCTGTCAATAAAGTTAAACTACATCCCCGAATGACAAACCCTCTACTGGCACTGTTCCATTGGTACAGACACAGTGCCTATGTGGATGCTGCATTACCTGTATCACTAAAAACAGTCCCACAATAGGCACAACAATGACCATTGTGATCACCATTCTGAACTCTGTTGCTAAGGGGATCACAGTGACCAAAAGCCTACCCTCCATTTTAAAATGCCTCTCTTTGCATGCCCCTGGGTGTGGCTCAGTGCAAAGCTACAACTACACCTCATGCTACTGCCTAGTTCAGGAAAGTAGGCCTGAATATCCTTGGCTTGTGAGGAGAAGAAACAGTGCAAGTTCAGCTGCACAATACTGGCAGAAATAAAGATGTTAATTTGGACAAAAATGGTGCAGAAAGATTATGGGATGGAACAATGGGAATTGTGGAAATTTCACCCCAAGCTACCCTAATGCCCTGACAGGACTGCTGGTATCCCACAATGTGTTGCAAAAATATCCCACAAGGTAATGCACCAGACAGTGTCACAGCAGACACAGGGATGCCTACGCACAGTACACAGCATCTTTTACCAATGCACCCTCTCACAGCGATTATCCGAGGCCGCAAAGACAACCAAGTGTGCTCATTCTGTAGTGACACTGCAGTCTCTGCCACTGTATGCCGGCATAAATGCTACCGATAAAGCTTTCTAATGTAGACATTGCCATAATCTGTGGGGGGGAAATAAAATACAGGCATTTTAAACAAATAATTTTACTGTCTTGGGTTTTGCAAGACACTTTCCCTATCTTTGGAGTTAGATCATATAAATAATTACTTTCCTTTTTTAAGGCTCAGTCTTATATGCATTCATTTATAGCCAATATTTATACCCTAATGGGGCTGCAGTGGTGGGAATGATGGTTTAGGCAAGGCAACAACAGTTGCTGGCATGTTCAACACGCTGTCATGTAGACCTGCCCTGACAAATATAGATGGGGTAGCTACATTTTCAGGAGTTACTAGTGTTTTGGCCAATCAAGTTAAAACACCTTCAAGCATCCTGCTGCTAGGGTTGCCAATCTGACTGAAGCTATTCAGGAGATTCTCCTCCGCCCCCCCCATGACGTAATGTCATTTTCTTAAAATAGCCTATTAAAATCTTCCGGATTGCTTTCAGTAATCACTAGGAGACTCCAGACCAATCCTGGAAGGTTGGCAACCCTACCTGCTGCTCAGAGGGAGGGCAGTTGGCACTTTGTGAAAATTAGATCCATTTCAAGTGTCTCGAGTTTGGCATTGAAAAAACCCAAATAAGGCACCTAAATTCATTAATTAATTA